AAACTTCAGACTAAAAAACATGCTTAAGTTTTTGTCTTGCGGTATGTAATTTTCTAGTGAGTTTTTGCTAATGCATGCTAAAGTTATTTAGTTCATTTGCTAAAACTTCAGACTAAACATGCTTAAGTTATTTAGTTCATTTGCTAAAACTTCATGCCAAAACATGCTGAAGTTTTGTCCTATAGTCTACAGTTTTGTCAATAGTCATGAAGGGCAAAATCATCTTTTTAAAACGCTTTTAACAAAAAAAAATGGGTACGGATACAAATGAAAAAACAAAACGGATATAAGTTAAAAGGGGACGACCAAATAGGGCGCCCCATGCAATTTTTCACGTGTCCTACCATGTTAGAAATTAGAATGACCCATATATACTTCCATGGCTACTCTGTTCAGAATGATCCAAACATCCATGTGCTGGTCTATGAACTATGAAGTGAGACCCTACGAGTTTACAACACAACTTTTCCTTTAACAAATTAGATATTCCCTCGAGTGTATACCTCCAAAATTTGATACTCTTACATAACAAATTTATCCATTTTTGCCTTATAATGTGTGGAGTAGAAAGGGGAAAAGCTGAAGCTTATAATTTTGCTCGAATGATGGGTCTATTACCCCTTCCTTGTTAGGGTATGGGCCATATCATGTAACAAATGTATCCTTCCATGCTATTATGCTACTCCCTTTATATTCGTCTTGAATTAATATAGGGGTCGTTTAGTTACAGGGATAAAGATAATACTCCGGATATAAAATTTGAGACTATATTTATTTCATGTTTGATTGTGGATATAAGCTAACACTGTAATTAATTTTATACCAAAATCATAATATTAGTTATTCCATATTGAATGTCGGACTATAGTTCATAACTTATTGTAGTTCCTAGATAACCTTGTTTTAAACCAAACGACGAGAGTTATAACACTAGTGACAAAACTATCAATTGGCTTCTAATACGTAAAATGACACCAAAATATAGAATTTAGAGGCTAGTCATGGAAATTTAATAGCGAAATTTAAATCAGTCAAGACAACGCATTTCGACCTTAGCTCAGTTGGTAGAGCGGAAGACTGTAGTGGGTGTTACCCGATAGCTATCCTTAGGTCGCTGGTTCGAATCCTGCAGGTCGGATTTTTTTTTTTTTTTTTTTTTGCGATTATGTATTTTAAGAAATTCTATTAACAAAATATCTTAAACGTTAAGGACATTGTTCTGTGGTCAATAATTGCTGCATGGCTAATTACTCTCTCTAAACACCCAAAAGTCTGAATATAATCTTTACTGGACGTTTACTCAAGTCTATCCTTGTATCGTGCAGCCAATTCACATATCTAAACCTCTTTCTGCTTTGAGAAATTATGAGGTTATTATCATTGATTTATGATTTATACCCAAAGGACGCATGAGTTATTTATATAGGGCAATGGGGAGAGTGGTGGTGAGCAGTGACTTAAGTTTAAAAGCTATTTCTTCTGCATGTTAATACATAATGTGTGATTACATCCAAATAATCCAACCCAAAACCTTAAGGCCATGGATGGAGTAGATATTGTATCATTAAAAACCCTTTGGAAACCTTACACAACCGGTGAGAAACAAGTGTAGTATACTCTAACACCCTCCCGCACGTGTGACCTAGTTTTAGGATTCACACATGAATTTTGCTTTTTTGCTTTTTGCTTTTTTTTTTTTTTGAAGTAGGGAGAGAGAGGGCTCAACCAGAAGGGTTTGGAATATAGAGCATCAAATTAGTTTGAGATTTTTACATTCCTACGCCACATAGGAAACCTTATTACCCTCAATGTTTAAGGTTTGACTTAATTACACTTAGTATACCAAATTACCAATTCTATATCATAATTAAGGGAAAATGCATAAGTACCCCTGACCTATACCCGGATTCCCAACTGCACACTTTTTCTTTGCGGGAATCCAATTACCCCCCTAAACTTATTTTAAATAGAATTATTTGCACCCTTAACGCTGACAACCAAACTCTTGGCAAGTGGTGGGCTACACGCGCCCCCACATGTATTTTTAGTACTTTTTCATTCTTTCTTCTTTTTCTTATCCTTTTTTTCTTATTTCTTATTATTGTCATTTTTTTTTGGTTATTTCATTCTTTTCTTTTTATTTTGGTCACCGGCAGCATAAAATGGTGGTCGTCGGAATTTCACAAATACCATTTTTTCCGGCGATTTTTTTTTCCGGCGATAAATTTTTATCCCGATCTAAGTGTGTTTTGTTTTATATATATATATAGATTCTTGAAAGTGTAATTTATGTGTGGGAGGAAGAGCAAAAGAAATAAAAACATATATAAGCTGAGAAAACTTTTTTCAGTTAAAATTTCAATACATCATTTTTTTTCCGGTGTGGGAAGGTTTTCCGATGATGAATTTTTTCCCCCAAATCTGAGTGTATTTTGCTTTGCTTATGTATAGATCTTTTTGAGAGTTTAATTTGTGTGTGAAAAGAAAAAATGGAAGAAAAACGGTTAGACAAAGTCGCCGGTGAATGAATATCCGCCGGAATTAGAGAAGAAACGAAAAAAAAAAGTAAAAGAAAAATGACAAAGAAAAAGGAAAGGAAAAAGGGAAAAAAAAGTAAAGAAAAAAATGGTAAAAAAAGAAATAAAAAATAAATACTGAAAAATCGTTTTTTACTTGCTTCTCACTCTCCTTTGGGAGAGTGAAATACACACTCTGCCACGTCAGCGTTAAGGGTGCAAATAATTCCATTTAAAATAAGTTTAGAGGGGTAATAGGATTCCCGCAAAGAAAAAGTGTGTAGTTGGGAATCCAGGTATATAGGTCAGGGGTTACTTATGCATTTTCCCCCATAATTAATTAAGGGTATAACTAATTGTACATTTTTTACTCCTTAATTAAAGGAATCTGCACGTTTCTCTCTCCTAACCCCTCAGTCCCCCCACGTTTTACCCATACCCACGTTCTTTTTACCATTTTTCATCTTCTGAAATCAAATTCTCCCTCTAAATTCACAGAAAATTGAAGAAACCCTTCAACAAAGTTGGTTCCCCATTTTACTCCAGTTGAAGTTCATCAATGAAGAACAACAAAGTTCATCAAAATTGAAGTCAAATCTTCAAAGTTCATACACACATTTACCTTCAGCTTCAAATTTTCTCAATGAAGAAGAGCAAACCTTCAAAGAGACAAGAGAGCAGCAATTCCACCATTAACAGCCATTAAAAAGCTTTGAAGCTTTGAATTCAAATTTGGGTTTTCAAAAATCATTATTTATTTTGATTGAGTTTTGCTGGAAAAAAATTGGGAATATGTTTTGGAGTTTATATCTCAATTTTGAGGGGTTTTGATGAAGATTAGACTTGGCTTTGACTAAAATTCAGATTGAAACTCGAAGAAGAAGAAGACATATTGCAGAAATTGTAGATAAATTGTAGACTGTTTTTTGCAGAAGTTTTAGTCGTTTTCGATTTGTGAAAACAGAAAACAATGCATCTACAATCAGAATACAAATAATCTACAATTTATCTACAAAATATCTACAAACTGGATACATTGAATTTTAATATCCAAATTCCCATTTCAATTGTAGCATAATTGGCATTGTCGACATAATTGCGTTTTTTGCTGAAGATTTGTAGAAGTCTTAGTCTTTTTTTATTTGTGAAAACAGAAAATAAAGCACCTACAATTAGAATACAAATAATCTGCAATTTATCTACAAAATATCTACAAACTGGGTACATTGAATTTTTATATCCCAATTCCCATCCAATTGTAGCATAATTGTGATTTTTGATATAATTACGTTTTTTCAGAAGATTTTGAAAAAGTTTTTAGCCGTTTTTAATTTGTGAAAACAGAAAATAAAGCATCTACAATCAGAATACAAATAATCTACAATTTATCTACAATTTCTGCAATATGTCATTCTTCTTATTCTTCTTCTTCTTCGAGTTTCAATCTTAATTTCAGTCAAAACCAAGTCTAATCTTCACCAAAACCCCTCAAAATTGAGATATAAACTCCAAACCATATTCCAAATTATTTTCAACAACACCCAATCCAAACAAATAATGATTCTTGAAAACCCAAATTTGAATTCAAAGCTTTCAAGCCTTTTAATGGCTATCAATGGTGGAAAATATCTGGAAGAATATTTACTTCCATAATTGTAGCGCGCCTAAATAGGAATATCTGGAAAAATATAATTTGATCTGATTTACGCCAAATCTTTTTAGAATATTCAGTTCCTCAATTTTAGCTCGACAAATTAGGAAGATTCAGCTACTATTAATTAGTATTTAATGATTGGTATAATAACTGTAGAAAAAATGTGGACAGGACAGGTAAATTAGAAACTATGCACATTTTTGGTAATAAGGTTTCATATATGGTATAGGAAAGAAAAAATCTCAATTAGTTTCAATAGACTAATGGGTGGCTCAATGGGCTTGAATTGAGAGGGAAGCCCAGCGCAAACAATGAGAGAAATTAGTGTAAGCAAGATCAGCAAAGTTTGATTCTATGTTTAACTCTATTAAATTTTGAATTCTGTGTTCCAATAGTCTATAATCCCAATTCTAAAATATCATGCTTTAAATACGTCAATTTGTATTGAAAAGAAAACCTCAAATTATCAACATTTCCTTTCATCAAACGGAAAGATATCGTAAGATAAGCCGACGCGAGCCTAAACGATGAGAATGTATCTTGGAAGATACAAAATATTTTCAATACCGCAAGAGGAACAAACATACCACCAAACAGTGAGATGTAATGATAAAAGTTCTTCAACCCTTAATCAGCGAACTCAGATTCCATCCATAAGTTGTAGACACCAGATTGTTATACAAATTATGAAAAGAAAAATTAGCAAATATTTTTCTCCACTAAACTCATTTAGATGACAAATAAGGTGCCCCTGGACATTCAAACAGTTTCTTAAACGTAGCTCTTTCCTTTTCACCAGTAAATAATTTTAGTAATATACACAAATAGTGTAAAACTTTCACACTTATCAATCCAATTAAACTGGTTATAAGTTATAACAAGTTCTTTATACTATATCAAACTTGATAAGAAGGTTTATCTGTTGTTGCAAGTCAATTTTACTTGATGGTAAGTAACATATACATTTGTTGGTGCATAAAACTTAAACTCTTTATTAAATAACCATTTCTACAACCTGCCTAAGCTCTCTGACCCCAACTCTCAGCTGGATCCCAAAGCTACAAAAAGGATGCTACTTCTTCGCTCCTACCTATTTCTACAATCAAAGATGCTATACTACATCGTTGAAAAGTCCAAGTCGCATGAATGAAGAATATAACATACCAGTGATTTAAGAAGTCATCTGAAGCCACCTGCAATAAATTCAGAATCAAACTGACAGGAGACTGCAAAATCTTCTAGTAAATATCATAAGCGGTAGAAACTAATTAATCTGCATCTACATAACTCAAAATTTTGACAACAGAAGAACTCCAAATTCAAGAACGGGAGACTAGACATTGCAATACTTGAAGTCGCACAATAGGTGTAAAAATGCATCTGGGAAACCATTCTATTGCCAAGAAGCTAAGACAAGGCAATCAACTCTAGCACAAATTACCAAGAGTCTAATTCGGAGTTCTGATGAACCTCATTGAAATATGCAGGCAAAACTCTAATGTACCCAACACCAATTCTTTTTTCTCTTCTTTTTGCCAAAAAGGCATAGAGATGTCAAGCAGAAAGAACAAAAGGGCATTGCTGGACTGTAAACATAAACAAAACTAAAACAAAGAGAGGCAGAAAACAAGCTATGATACGTTACCTTACTTCATTGAAGCTTGGTTGAGCAAATCTGCAAGTTATCGTCACTCAAACAACCAAGCAACCCTGTATTTAGGAGTCGTGTATACCTCACATCACGAATAGGACCATTGAGGGATTTAACACGCTGAGCCACATTTAAAGATGGCAATTCTTGTAACACCAGTTCCATTGTTGCTTCATCACCAGAAGCAAACAAGGGGTTCTGATTCCCTCTATCTATTATAGCAGATTTTGGAAGTCGAATGCCACTCACTTTGGCACAAGAAGCTCCTAACTTCTGGTATCTGCTACCCACTCTCCTATAAAGAACATGAGAACCCTCTACGGCTTGCTCCATTACTGGAGGAGTAAGCGGTACTTGAGAAGCAGCCATGTCGCCAATGATCTCCAGTTTAGGACGGAAAGAGGCAACTATGTCATCATTTCTATCTCCACAAGCGAGAGATATACAGATTCCTTGATTCTCTGATTCAGGAACCAAGCACGGCCTTCAGTGATAAATGAAACTCTGTTATTAACATGGAATTCATAGAAACTACTCACAGAGCTTCAAGATAAAAGTAACTCTTTTAAACCAGCTTGAAAAGTCACCAAAACCATACTGTTGATCCAGGTTCAAATATATTTACATATATCAGATGCACTCTGCCCCTCAACTCCTTTAAGGAAGATTCTGAGCATAGTCAGACATATTCAAACAATGTATTTGGAAAGCAATCCTGTCTACTACTAGGGAATAAGGCAGAACTTCAATATAAGCACTCTTTTAGACCAGCTTGAAAAGTCAACTAAACACATAGTTGGCCCCGGTATGATTTACATCAATTTTCAGAAGTTCTTATCTCTCAAAATCATTAATGACAATATGGTACACCTTCACAACAAAAAATCTCTCGGACCAGCTTTAAAAGTAAACTAAAAAGCATGTAGTTGATCCCAGTACATCCACATCCATATAAATCGCCATAACTGCCTGCTAACACTATCCAGTCAACTCCTCTTAACATGATTCTGGACATAGTCAAGCATATTCAAACAATTTATCAAGAAAGCAATTGTTTCTACTGCTAGGGCTTAAGCACATCGAAAACCAAAAAACAGTTGGCACATGAGCAAAATATTCTGCAAACAAAAAAAAAACAATATACTTCGCCACTAAGAAGGTTATATACCCTCGACGTTAGTGGAAATTGTAGGTTGAAATGTGAACAAGGACCTGAACACAGTAAGGTCTCATTTGTTTTTTTTAAGATTGAACGTCTGAATCTGAATATCAAGATGTGTATTAAGATTAAGATATATTAATCTGAATACACATCTGAATATTAAGATGCATATTAAGATCTGAATACTAAATAATTAAGACGGTTTGTTTTCTTAACATCTTAAGGTATATAAGTAAACTTTATTAAAAAATTAATTAACATAAAATTCAAATAAAATACTAAATAATCTAATATTTTATTAATAAAATATTTTTTTTAAATATGGTAGTGGCGGTGGTAATGAGTAACGGAGGTGCTTGTGATGCCGACTAGAGGCGGTGGTTGATGGTGGTTTTGGTTAATGATGGTGGTTCTAGGTAGTAGCTAGTGGTGATTGGTAGGATGGCGATTATGGTTCAAGATGGTGGTGGTGGGTGGTGGTGGTTGTAGTTGCGATTGAGGACGGTGATGGTGGGTGGTGGTAGTTTATAATGGTGGGCGGTGCCGGCTATAGTTGTTGATGGTGATGGGGTGATTGTTGTGGTAGTTGAGGTGGGTAAGTGTGGTTGTGATTGAAGATGGTGGTGGTGGGAGTGGTGGGTGGTGGGAGTGGTGGCGGCTATGGTTGAAGATGGTGGTGGCGGTAGTGGTAGTTGATAATGGTAGGCGGTGGCAGCAATTATTAATGAGTGAAAATAAGTTTTTGTTATAGATCTTAATCATACAGACCTATTCAGACCCATTAAGTGGTTGTGAAGTAAAAAAACAAACACTCCATGATTAAGATTCAAACTTAAAAACAAACGCACTTAATGTCTGAGACCTGAATGATTAAAATTCATTAAGGGCAAACAAATGAGGCTTAAGTCCTCTACAATAAAAAGTAAGATTGTACTATTGGCAACTCAAGTAGTGAAAGTTCTTTACAACTTCAAGATTCTTCCAATCAAACCGCCCCCAAGGGTGGCTTTGGTCTAGTGGTAAGAGCAATACTAATAATGTGTGGGTTAGTCGCACCTCACCCTGCCGCCGCAGACAAAAGCCTAGTATTTGTGAAGAAAGGTATAGGGGAGTGATTATTATTCACCAAGTTCCCAACCGTGCGTCAACTAGTCCATGAGGAATTTTGGTTATCAAAAGAAAAAAGATAATTTCTTGCAAATCTTAATAATAAGTAAGTAAAGCCTTGCCATGGCTTCACATTATGAAAACATCAAGAGACAAATCATGTTTGTCTGCACAACTAAACTAAGTCAATAAGAAATTAACAACCATGTTAAATCCTTGACATTAGACCAGAACCTTAACAATAACAAAACAACAACAAGAAAAAACAAAGACACAACGTGTAATAACAAAGTTCTAGAAATAAGATTAGACCAGAACCTTGATGTTCCAATTAAGACGTAAGAGTATCTTTTTTACTAGACTGGAAAAGGATAAGAAGGATTTCCATGAGAAAAAATCTGAACCATACAACTCAAAGTTTAATTCTATTAGGAAAAAGAGAAATGCAATAACAAACAACTTCAAGGAACAAAAAATAATCAATCACCTCCCACGCATCATTGCTGCCTGAATAAACTATAAGACTTACACTACTTATATATTTTTTTTAAAAAAAGATTATTCACTAACCTACTTTAGCAATATAAACTGTTTTACCATGACAAAAAAGTTACATTTTGAAGAACATAACTATTGAACCATACCAGTACTAGCCAGCTGGACTGTTTAGTGAGCAACAATTTGCATCGAACACAGTTAACTCTTAATCTCACCACAGTATGTAAACTATTAGAAAAACAATTATGACAGCAGTCTGCACCTTCTTGAGCAATTTCTTTTTCAAGAAAAACTGGAAAATGGTCAGCTAAATGTCTTCATCCATTTCTTCTTCTATACCACTCACCAGTTTTCCTACTTACTTCAATCATTTGTTATAGGATGAATGAGTAGTTAGAATGTATTCAGAGACCAGACAGTCTCCTTTAAGAATATACCGTGGACCTAAATTTGCAGTTAGGCTCCTTCGGGAATATTCCTAAGATCTAAGTTGGCAGTTAGTTAATGATTACAATTGTCGAGTTACAGGAATTATCTACTGAGAGATTCCAAAGTGCAAATAATCTTGAGTCAGTACTCAGCAAAGATTCGTCAGAATCAGATCCTAACAGTTCTAAAGATACAGTGAGGGATGGTGCAACTCAGACAATATTAGATATTAAGAAAAAACTTGTTCACCTCAAGAAGCAACTAAGAGAAATTTAGAAGAGCAGTAAAACATGCTAGAATTCACCTTTCTTCACTGCTACCAAAGTTCCAGTGGCACAAGCCTACTGAAGATGCAGAAAGAACACTTCTGACGCCGGCGCCAACTGTAGGATCAGCTGAAAGAGAGCACACAGTATGAACAGGATTGCCTGTCAACCCAGTCATACATTCCACTGGCCTCGCAGTTTGACGTCCATCAAACTGCAAAACCATACCATTCTGCACAAGACAAAACAAAAAATATGATGCATTATTCAGAGAAAAAGAAAGAACAGAGACACCAACTATTTTTTCTGTTCGATAAATAACAATGGTGTTGCCTGTACTTGAAAGAGAGACTAACTAGTGAAAACAAATAAGTGCTCCCTCAATACCAACTTGCTTGTCACTTTGGATTCATTGTGGGTCAATTTAGCTTCTCAGCAAAATTAGGTATATATTTATTCTTGTTTTTTAATAAGTATATATTTAATCATTTTTTGAACATTAGATATTTAAAAACTACATCAAAAGTAATATAAGTTGTTATTTTCCACCATGTCAAAATAACGAGAGAATAGATTCAGAATTATTAGTCAAAGTTATTTTGTTCGACTCCCAACAAACGAAAAAGTGGGACCATTTTTTGAACAGACAATGTGTTAGGACCTGTAATCCGGCATACATGTAATGCGAATTGTTGGGATCCCACGAACATGACCAAGGAACAGTCTGCACATTCCAAATAGACAAACAAAATGAATCAAATTAACTTGGCCAAGAGTATCCATTAGCAACAAACCTATCCTATAGAGAAAGGTCAATAACAGTAACAAATATTGGGGAAAAAACTAATAACAGTAAGAAAAGGCTTATTATCAGGAAAGCATATTACTGAGAGTAGAAAAGTCGAAGATGCAGCAATTGAATCAAGCAATCATAGCAGCAGGACATTCGGGAGCATGCTATAAAGGCTGTACTTTTTGTAGTTCAGGAGATGCATTTGTTACATTGTAAATCAGGTCACTATTTCCTCTAAAGTTTCAAACATGGAATTGTCTTTGATGATTGCAAGAAATTCCCCACAGGCTCTAACAACTTCCTTCAATTACTTGACAACTTACCGAAATTTAAATCCAAGTTAAAGTAGCCTTGGTTGACAAACTCATGACCCAGCAACGGGACATGGGAAATTATGCAGAAAATTTTACTATTATCCCAAGTAAGCTGTTGGGCCCCCTACCAACAACTAGATGACAGGGAAAAATGCAACCCCACCATTCAGACAAACATTCTGAATCAGGTAGAAAGTATAGATTTTGAAAAATTCGGCAGGCGCAAGTAGTATAGTCAACCACAAAGAAGAAAAAATCAAGACAAAAGGCAGAAAGTTCAAGAGAAACAAGGCAAGCAAAAATCAAACGTAGGACATAATCTTCTGCCGCAAAAAGACTGAGATTGAGGTCTATGAATTAGGAGGGTGGGGTAGAGCAAAAGCTAATTGATGTTTTACGAAAATTTGCATTTTGTCAACTCTCAAGTTGTCAATCAAAACTAAAAAGTAACAGCTTTCACAAGATGAATAGGTGGTGTTAAAGAACGTCTTCTGATGCTAGTAGTGAAGGTCCAGTCAAATCAAATAAGCTGTTCTGTACATTTAACTGTGAAAATGACGGACCTTAGCAGGCCTTACCAGTTAGCGTAAAGCGTGTACACAGTAAGTACAGAAAAACTACTCCATAAGAACTCTAATCAACAATCACTCAACCAGAGAGTTTCTCATCCAAAGAGCTTATCAACCAAAAATAATAATACGTTATCCAACAACTGTGCGAGCAATCTTTACTTTACACAAACTTAAGAATTGAAGGCAAAAACACAACTATAAAAGGCCTAGAGTTATTACCGGTAAGTCGTATGTCAGAACAGCATGGTTGTTTTCAGCACTGCAAAAAGAAAGAGATCAAATAAATAAGCTACCTACCAGGAGGGAAGCACAGAATAGAAGCTGTTCTACAGCAATTCTTTTGATCAAGTACATTTAGCTGTATGCAGCAATTATTTGGCAGAAAGTGGATTAGGGAGGTTATCGACCTAAGAACTGACAATTTCTTCCCTAAGGAAGCCAAGAGTATGACTCTTTCATGAGGAGAAACATGCAAGTCCTTGATAGTTTTCATGCTCGCGGGAAGCAGAATGTCTTCTCTTTCATGCGGAGGTAATAGGCTGATCTGCAAAATGTAAAAGTAGAAAAGGTTGAAGCACATACGCAGAACAAAAACCATCAGATAATTCCAATAAGGCAACCTAAGAAATTTACTTTCGTAAGCATATGCTGTCCTCCCATTCCAGCGATCCTTCTAGCAATCATCAAATTCTCACCGTTGCTATCCACATCAAATAGGCGAGCACCATCAATCCGAAATTCTTTCTACAAATGTATAAAACATAAGGTTACTAACTCATTAAAACTTCAGTCAATGGCGCTAATTGAACAAACGTATGCTGTGTTCATTCCCAATACAAAACAAGTAAGAAAAAAGAGTAAGAGAGAAAAGAACAGAAATCATATTTTGGGACAATAAGAAGGAAGGGAACTGACCATCCATACTACTTTCTCAGTCACCTACAGACTATTGATGATGTGAGGTAAGTGTTAACCCAAAGGTGAGCATATTTCCAGTGCATCTTTGTACACAAGTAGCAATAAATGTGGAACAACAACGGATAAAGGACTAATGATTACTCTGTTGATACTATCAGGCAAACAAGTTGCAACAGATGTGGAGCAACAATGGATAAAGGAGTAATGATTTCTGAGTTGATACTATCGTCTATCAGTAACCAAACGTGTAAAAAAAATTCCTATAGCTCAATTTTCACATTTGACAAAAGTATAGGAGATGGCAAACCTGTAAAACAAAAGCATTCGCATATTCACGTCTTCCCAATTTGGAGTCAATATTGCGTCCTGCACGACATGGATAGGTACTGAAACTTCAGTGTGAAACGACGATAGAACATAGCCAATAGGATCAATATCCCCAAGTAAAGATTTCTCAAGGACTGCTTACCAAAAATGTGTCCAGATGACCTGCTCTGCGTCTCGCTTTGCGAGCCCTCTACACAAGTTATTCTCTATGAAGAGCAGATATGCAGTAAGTAATATGCCGCTTTAGTAAACAAAGGTTAACAGAGATACCTATACCACTACTAATTGCACCGAAACTTGTTATCCAAATTTTCTCAAGCCAAAGAAACGACAGAATAAATAAAAACCCAAAGAAGAAAGGGCTAAAATAAACTAACAAAGGGGATATACACAATTAAGAATATTTCTTAAAAAGCCCAAACAAGTACCTGCCTTATAGCATTGAAAGATGCCATATTCTGAAGAATGTTAAAAGGGAATACTGGCAGGGAAAAGAGGGCCACAATATGTACTAAAGAAAGTGCACCAAAGTCAGTCTGTATTCCAGGAAGAGTGTGCAAATAATTTAACAATAGGCAAAGACTAAAGAGAATATAACGTTGGAGTTTTCAAACAAGGGAAAAGCAATAACGAGTAAACACGCATGAAGTAGAGTTGATCATCTCGTTTTGCAAACCTAGGAGAAAGTTTAAACAAAATTCACAATGGGTGTTTTGGTAGTAAACATATCACTTAAAAAGACAACCAAGACAAAGGAAAAGTGATTCTGGAAACAATCTAATCTGATCCTCCCCTCCCCCATCTCCCACCACTAAAGAAAAGCCCCCTACACTTCCAACCAAACAAAAAAGATGCAGTGAAGAAGGGATGTGTGAAGAAGCAGCACATAACAGAAATAGCACACAAAGTAACACATACCTCTTTGAGGTGCTCCACTTGCTTATGCAACTCAGCTTCTCTCCTCCTCCACTCTACTTCTTTCTTACACCAATCACTGCACTGCGCGAATTGAATATCGTCTTATAATCACCATGAGAACATGTGAAGAAAAATGTAATTTAGCAGAGGGGACAAAATTGCTTTCAAAAGTCAGTTAAAGCAGAAGTATCATTGTTGTGGCTAACCCACGGTGATTTTGATTCCTGACGAAGCATAAGCTGCCAGGTGACTTGAATGCCCTTACACATAGCAATGAAGCTAGCTGTTAAAAGCAAGCAAATCCGGTTTACATAGTGAAGAAGGTACAAGGGAGAGGAAGAGAACAGAAGGGAAAAGGGCAACAAAGGTGTCTTCCCTTTAGGTAAAAGCTTCAACATTATGAGGGAAGAAATTATGTTTATCTTACTCATTTCTGTCTAATTTTAGACGATTGAACTCTTCACGGATACTCATCTTTCTCCTAGTGTTCCAATTCAAGAAATGAGAGAATTGTCCTTTACCTATAACAATTGGTAAGAGGTTTCTATACAAAACATACATTGAGTTTTTAAATCGTGAGCAATTTGGTCCATTTGAAAACTAATCATCTTCAACTACATTGTTTCCTTCTAAATTGAGTAAAGGAAAAGCCTAGCCTAAGACATAAAAAGATAACCATCATCAAATCGTCATTTTGTTTCTTTTCTTTTTCTAACATAAGGTTTCATCAAGCTTTCACTTTTTCGATCGATCTCGATGACAGATGATCGAATGCCTTAGTTGGTCAGCCCTGTGCATGGAAAAGCTTGAAAGTTTCTACTGTGAATCTTCATTTATAGGTTAGACCTGAGATGTATCAGGAGATAGCAGTTACGAAATCAAAAACCTTTCTTCTTTTCTCTTACCTCTTTTTCAAGAGAAAAACATCTAGATTCAAGAGACCGGATTTTCTGCAAAAGAGGAAGGAATTGGGTCACTATCTCATGGAGCAAGCTTCAAATTATAAGCATCAAATGAAGACCTTTTGAAGCTCTTCATCAACAGCATGAAGACGAGAAGCATAAAGCACTCGGACACCCTTCAATGTGCATTTCTTATTACATTGAGGGCACTACAAACAAAACAAAAGAAAGAATGTGAGGGGCCAACTGAAAAAAGGATGTCAAAATACTGCATAAAACAAGAACCAAATTATTATGAGAAATACCTTTCCTAAACTTCCTTTTTGTTGCAACCACTTCTTGATACATGACAAACCATATATATGCCCACAAGGAAGGCAGCTGCAAAAGATTAAAAGGTGGAAGATAATGGAAGTATTAACACTTGAAAACTGTATTTTCAGTTGTCAATTATATATCAAGCAATGAACTAAACCTCAACTCCAACTAGTTTGTCGACTATATGAATTATCCATATACATTCCAATTTATTTGGGTCAATGCCATTCCATTATTAAAGAAGTTGTGTTTACGTCAAATCAGGTGTTCTCTAAAACTAGAGATTTCTAAATACCATTTTTATCCCTACAGTGACATGTAAGTCTCTAACCATAACTCCAATTAGTTGATATTGCCGATACGAGTCTTTTACTTGCATTGTATTACATTCTTAGCTAGGTCCGCATTGATTCAGTAGATTAAAGGACTTTAATGACAACTGTTTTTCCATGTGATTTTAGTTCTTTATCTCCTTCTAACACCTTAAATCATCATATCTGCGCACCAACTAACTGATGCATTTGGATGGCTACATAGAACATCCACAAACAATATCAAACAACCTTCCATCATTTCATCCTCTATGTGTATTACACTATCTGTCAGATGTGAACTGTGATCATTCAGCAGTCACTTATTCAAAAGAACGGAAAACTCAAGTGCTTTAATTGGGAAGGTGAAGATAGTTATTCAGTTTCATGTGTTACAGCCATATTGTATTTCTTAGAATTTACATGAATGTTAGTATAATCAAGCCAACTGAAACAGACTCCTATTATCTATAACACAACCCACATACCCTCTAAATTTAGTATCCATTGTTTTCATCTTCAAGGAAAACAAAATAGAAGTCCTCTGCAGCATCTCAATTTTTTCTTTTCAAGTTATATCATTGTACTTAAATTGTCAAAATAGAAGCTGCTTTTAAAAATCTTATTCCCTTTTACATTTTGATCGTAATTTTTTTTATCAAAAGGTAAAAGTTTGTCAACAAGACTAAGAAAGATCTTGACAAAAAAACGGAAACAGAGATCAGTACAGCAGAAATAATATTTTATTGTGCTATACCATTCCCCCAAGGCTTCACCTTGTCTGTTTCACAATTGAATATAGATGATTATTTTCTTCTTTTTCTTTTTCATAGGGTTGCATATAGATAATTTTAACATTCATAGGCATAACACATTCAGTTACATAAAGCCGAAACTTAACATTACTAATGATAAACAATCAGCACGAACCAACTTTTTTCAAAATTGAAACAGGTCCAGTGGAGGGGAATGGATTATATGGATTCATATAGTTGATGTTGCTCGGACTCTCCAAAAGTGCTACCGCACCCATGTCGGATCCTCCAAAAATACACTAAATTTGGAGGATCCGACATGCACCCAACAACATTTATGAAAATCGGGTAATATAGGTTGATCCAACTAGTTATTGAACATAGTTTGTTGTTGAGGTTGTATGCTATAGACGTCACCACAATCAGAAAAGATTAAGTTATATGCACTCACAGTGTAATGAGTGTAGATTAACCTGAGGTTAATTACCATTTATTACAACAACAGCATACCCAGTGTAATCCCACAAGTGGGATCTAGGGAGGGTAGTGTGTACACAGGCCTTACCCTAGTTTGTGCAAGTAGAGAGGTTGTTTCTGATAGACCCTCGGCTCAAGGAAAGCATATTCACAACAATTTTGAAAAAGAAATACGGAAATTTAAAAGGGAAGCAGTAGCAATAGCAGGATAATAAGATAACTGAAGCAAAAGCAACAACAAGTAGTAGTATAAATCTAAGAATAAGGAAGTTCTAGCAACAAAAACAAACCCAATGTAACCCCACAAGTGGGGTCTAGGGAGGGTAGTGTGTACACAGACTTTACCCATACCTGGTCAAGGTAGAAAAAAGAATAAGCAAGTACTAGAATGATACTAATATTACTGGTATGGAAAGGAAATGCGGTCGACTACCTACTAACTTTCTACCTTAATACTCGACTTCGACATCCTTCTGTCAAGGGTCATGTCCTCAGTAAGAAGAACAGTCATGTCCTGTCTAATCACCTCTCCCAATACTTCTCCGGCCTACCTCTACCTCTACTTAGACCCACCATTGTCAATCCCTCACACCTAGTCACTGGGACATCTGTGCATATCCTATTCACATGCTCGAACCATTATTACCATTTATTTTAGGTTAATAATCAACGCTATTAAATAGATTACTTACTTGATTGTGTAAATACATCACCACAATCAAAAAGGACTTAAGTTATATGCACTCACAGTGCAGTGCGTGTAAATTAACATGAGGTTAATTACCATTTATTCTAGGTTACTAATCAATGTTATTAAATAGGTTACTTTGTGTAAATACATCCCCACAATAGAAACGATTTTTAAATTTTATGCACTCACAGTGTAACGAGTGTAGATAACTTGAGGTTAATTGCATAGAACTTGAAACTCAATAATAGTAGATGGAAGGACAAATAAGTAAATTACCAGATTTGGTGGTCGCCGTCGTTGGTCCAAGCTTCCATGCAAATCGGGCAAAACAAACCTTCAATCTCACTCCGATTCCACTCCCCTTCTACTTCGCCTCCATCGCCTTCTTCCTTATCAACATCTTGCGACGCCTTTCCCCCGCTTTTGGTCCTCCTCGTAACATCTTCACTTTCCATAGCGGAATTATGAAAATTCTCGGCATTAATCGCCTGCTGTTGAGATGAAATTGTTGCAGCACTACGATTCCCGTACAAAACCGTACGCAATGTCGTCCTTCCAGTACTCGACTCTTCATTGCCAACTTCTTCATCTTCTTCTTCTTCGTCGTCTTCTTCATCTTCTTCTTCTCGTTGTTCTTCTTCTTCCTCTTCTTCTTCGGTCTCTTCTTCCTCTTCTTCTTCCTCGTACTCTGCATCATCTTCTAAAAACCCGACGTCCTCTGCCAGTTCAACATCGCCACCCTCGTCGCCGCCGACGCCGATTAGGTGGAGGAATCTCTCGTAATCCGGGTCGGCGTCATCGGCCATTGCTATAATTGGATTATTACGCGCCTTAGGTCACAGCATTCGGCACTCAATTTTGTGAGAGCAAATTTTTGGGCAAAAGTGCGTTTGGCGCTGAAAAAAATAGGAGGGAAGTGAAAGTGTGAAACTCAATACGCTCTCTTATATAGTAATAGAGGACAAAAAAATACAAAAAGAAAAAGAAATTAGGGAAGCCACTTTGAGGTAGAGGGGAAGAATATTTGGTTTTACTAATAAATTTAATTTAATACACATGATTACACATTAATTCAATTTAAAGAAATCAGTTTTGTATTTCTTAAGGCAACTGTAGAGATTTTCTGGGCATTTAAATATAGTGAAAATGAGAAGAATGAAGGGGTGAATAAAAAAAAGAGATGAATGATGGGAAAAATACAGAAAAAAGGAAAGGAAGAAAAATCGAAAAACTTATTTTAAATATTTGAAATAATATTTTCAGATTAATATTTGGTTTACAATTTGATGTATTATTTCAACTACAACTCAAAATAGAGATTTTATATTTCAATTTTTTATTTTAGAAGTATTTCAAGTGAAATAATGATTTTCATATCTAAACACTATATACTTTTCAAAAACTCTTTTACAACTTCATTTTCAAGTTTTCCTTTTAGCATCAATGGAATACCATCCAAAACTCCTACAGGTTTGTGAATAAAATTATTTACTTACAAAAAAAAAAAAATGATTACGCCCAATTATGCCTTATAAAAAAGACTAAGCGGTCACTGCAAATATAATCCGATTTACGAGTCCGTAGTCGAATCTCACAGGGAATTAACATACTAATCACAATTGCTAGTTTCGCAAGAATTCAAGTAATCAACTTCCAAAAATATTAAATAATGAGTTGAGTGTTTACTAACTAACACAGGATAATTAAAAAAATGTAATTTTATTACTAACAAAGCAAATGTTGTAGACAAGATTGGAAAGGTCTAGGATTACGATTTCCCCTTTTATCGGAATCCTCTCTGCTACGTCTCCTATAAATTCGCCTAGATACTCTACCGATCATGAGCACTTTAGGTGTCGTAATTCTCTTCGAGCAAATACAACAATTTACTAAACGTATTCTTCCGAACTACGTTAGCTAGCACTAGTTTACCGCTCATTAAGATCGCACCAAGGTTTTGTCATTCCTAATCTCACCTTTAAACCATTTGTATTGATCCCTCAAACACGTTAGGAGCGATGTTGTTCAACAACTACCTAAATATGTACCCTTTTCCAAGTAATACACACTAAATAGGCATAGCTGATTAAGGGCCCTCCAATCAACTACAATAATCACGTAGTTGAACAAGCAGAGAAAATTCAATGGCAAATTTATATTAAACGCAACAAAATTTCATCCTCCAAGAGGGTATCCATCAAACCCTAGAATAAGTAGTTTAGCTACTCATAATTGTTTTCACACCCATAATATAAGAATTCATCACCAATAATAGAACAAAGGGAAGAAGAAAGATAAAAACTCGTTTCCGAATCTTCTATCTTGCTCTTTGCGTGTTATTACCTTCAAAATTCTTCTAAACACCAAGATGCCCTCTTTTTTGTAGCTCAAAATTGCTCTTGTAAAGCATAAAGTACTCAGTCAGAGCAATTTACTATCATTTAACGCTCAAACATCAGTAAAGTACAACAATTTAGAGTGCAAATAGTGGCCAACATAGTTATAGCCTACCATCAAATATCGTCCAAAAACATGTTATTTTGGCATTTTTTTAAAATGAAAAATGATATTGTATAGCCGCTATTAAAATAATACTCAAAAAATATATAGTTTTTTTGTATATATATACATTATACAAATTTTATATAATTTTTTTCCGTTATTGAATGTAAATAGTTTCTAACGCGGACTAAATGATAATACCCCATTTTGAATTGCCATACTTGTTTATTAACGGACAGCAGCGTTATAATGCCATACTTGTTAGGAAAACAGAACATATTTGGCTTTGAAAATCCATACTTGTTTAAGGAAAATAAAAAAGAAAAACTGCAATTTCACTTATAGATTTTGTTCTATTCAGTTATGCATTGACAAAAAAATAAATTAGAGATGAACAAATGATGTAACATACCAAATAATAATTAGTTTGCTTTGTCGAATCCCATCTGTTTGCTTTGATTACATTTTCTTTAATAGTTCAAAAAAAAATCTAAATTTTCAATCATGAATTAAAAAAATTCAAAATCCTCTCATGAATAGTTGAAATGAAGGAAATTAAGTAGTAAATATGACCGAATATTTGTGTAAAGACCAATAGAAATCTAGCACAAAAATACTCTTTCACAGACTCACTTCATAAATAGAATAGAAACATTTAAAACCTAGCCATTATCGGCATTTGACGCATGCCATAGTGCCGAAGGTGTAGCAGAACCAAACACAATGGGTTTTGAGAAGAGTTCTCTACATTCTTAATGTTTCACTAAATTGAACAGGTCCAATCATTATAAGTAAATACAATCTGTAAAATCTGACCGAGACGTGTATATTGACCAACATGTTTCATAATGTTTCGTGTACAAGTAAAACTCTAAAAAAGATATTTCGTGATTTGAAATTGTGCAAATGGAACATCAAAAGGTTTTTAAAATTTTTGTGAACTTAAAACTTATATAAGTGGAACTGAAGTTTAAATGAATTTCACCGTAGTCTAACAAAAGTTCGAAATCCGAGCACACTATGTTGGAGTTGTACGATGAAAAAAGTTTCAAACATTATAATAGTGTGCTAGAGTTTCACACTCTAATACAGTGTGCTATAGTTTTACATGTAAAATTTCAAAATTTTGTCATACTATGCTGAAAATTTTCGTATTTTTAGGAGTATTTGGGAAAAATTAAAAAATAACCAGATTTACAAGTGATCATTCAAAAATAGCCACAGTTTCAAAATTTAGCCACTTTTCATGTAAGGATAAATCTGAACGAAAATATTGTTCAAAATCCGGAAAATACTCCAGCATAATATAATTGAGTTCTAGCATAAGTATACTGGAACTGCAGTATATTATAGTGGAGTTCCAGCATAAGTATACTGGAACTCAAGCATAATATACTGGAGTTCCAGTATAATATACCGGTGCAACATAATATGCTGGAAGTTCATACACAGGCACTCCAATCTCCAGTATATTATGCTGGAACTTTCCGCATGTTGGTGTTCCAGCATAATATGCTGGATGTTCATATACATGTGCATCAATCTCCATTATATTACGCTGGACCGACCCCTGTTGCAGCAAAATAGTGGTTATTTTTCAATGACTTTGCAAACGCCTGTCACACCTCCTTTTTTACACCACCCGACGAGGCAGTATATAAGGGAGTTTTTTCAATTAAAGTGGCATTATTCGAAATGGGATTAATTATTGATCAGAGTCGCCACTTGGAATAAATTATGGTGTCCCAAGTCACCGGTTTATTTTAAATCCCAAATCGAGGAAGTTTTATTTTTTTGAAGAGTCTGCGAACCAGAAATTCTAGGTAAGAAATTTTGTTAACCTGGAAGAAGGTGTTAGGCATTCCCGGGTTCTGTGGTTCTAGCACAGTCGCTTAGTGATTATTACTTGGCTTAATTAAATTATTTAGTGACGTATTTTAGAACCTATGTGTACTTTACCTTTTAATCGCTTTTAATCACTTGATTTATTCATAATTAAGGAATTATTTTTAAAACGAGTCACGCGTACGTGTACTCTTTTGTTTGGCGCGTCAAGAATCATGTCACGCGTACGTATCTACAACTAATCACGCTTTATTATTATTAAGAAAGTTTAGTCGGAGTTGCGCGAACGCATACTCCGATTTTGTTTTTTTAATATCGTAATTATGTCACGCGAACGTGTACACAACCACGATGGTATATTAAACGTGCCTAAAGCAAGTTACGAATATTCATTTAGAAACCATAATTATGTCACGCGAACGTGTACATAATCACGGTAATAAATTCAAAACGTGCCTAAAGGTTCGTCTACCCGGGTGTGGTCGGCCTAAACATACTCCTAGCGATGTAATAATAAAAGGGAGAATAAATAAATAATAAATAAATGAAACTCAAAGAAAATTCGTTACGATGGCTCACTCAATTTGAAAGAACATATGTCTGCTTGAACTCAACCATGTGAATATTCCTCCAATGCATGTGACTTGAAATTAATAGAGAATTTTGAAGTGCTAGTTAAACTCCAACTTCAAAACAGTGACTTGCTGAATTTCATTATACTCAAGAAAAACCTTTGTAGGATTAATATAAATACTTTTATACTCATTTCGTACTGATAATGGATGAAGGAAACAAGCAATACTGTTTAATTTTAAGAGCACACCTCAAATAGTGAAACAGATTCATCGTAATGGTTCTATCGCAACATGAAATCAGATCAAATTTACACTCATTTGAACACTAGCAAAATTCTAATAGACAGAAAGTTGGAAGAAGAAACAGACCAACCACAATTAATATAAAAAAAAAACTAAACGAATAAGAAAATCAACAAACACACAAATTACATGAAAAAAATGAAAAGGAATAAAGGAAGGAACCTGTAAGGCAGATTTCTTTAGTATATGAAAAAAAAAGTTTCCGAAGCAGCTTCACCAAAATAAAGATCCGAACGAACAAACAACAGGGAGGCAAATCACAAACCGCGAACAAAACTCAGGTTGGAATCCGCTTGACACGACGGAACCGCAAACGGACTTCGAACGGCAAATTCACCTCAAATCAACTAAACTCCATCTCCTTTATGAGACTCCAATTTTATCTCTCAAACAAAATGTCCAAGAAACAAAGTTCTCTGAAATTTCAATTCCTGCCCCTCTTGTTCGTTCCGGTGAGGCTGAGAGATTTCTTTTTTTGGTCTAGGTATTTTTGTTCTTTTTTTTTTTCGTGTGTGAAGAAGAAAGGTGTTGAATAGTTTTTCCGATTTTGTTTTTTGTATATCTCTCTCCCCCTCTCTACTTGTCTTCAAAGTGTGTATATATATGCAAGTAAAATCTCTTTGTTAAGGTGTGTTCATGGAGAAGATGAGTGGAAAAGTGGGGGAGGATCGTGAGTGTGTGCTGTGAGGGACGTGAGGGATGGTGAGATGGGACGTGAGGGAGAGGGAAGTTAGGCTCTTTTTGCTAAAGTTTATTGCTAAGCTTTTGGAAAAGTTTACGTGAATTTAATATTTTTTTTTGTTTTCTTTTAGAACTAAAATTCAATTAAACATTATCACAAAAATATTAACCAACTAACTTTAGACTAAGAAAAATATAAAAAAAAATATATAAGAACTAAATATTTACATATAATTTAAATAATACTAAAAATACCATAGCTTACTTATCAAAATACTAATTAAAGAAACTAAATATTTTTTCTTTTTCTCTTTACAAATAAAAACAAAATATTCTATAAGTATATATATATATATATAAATGACTCGTCTACTTTTGGGTCAGAGAGTCGACTTTTGAATGAGATCCGAAATTTTTATGAAAATGGGTTAATAGCCACTTTTCAGTAAAAATAGCACGGGCTAGCCAGTTTTACTGAAAAGTGGCTATTAACCCATTTTCATAAAAATTTCGGATCTCATTCAAAAGTCGACTCTCTGACCCAAAAGTAGACGAGTCATCTTCTTCGATAGCACATCTTCTTCTCGATACAACGCACGAGAGAGCAAAGAGAACAAAGCCTTCTAAAGCAATCGAAAATGGTAAGAATTAAATCCAATTCCCTCTCCTTAATTTAATTCCATAATCTTTTTTATATCAGTTTCTGAATTTTCATTTTTTCGCAAATATTATAGGTTTGCGTAGCGTGTTTAATACCGCTGTTCCTCGTCCCGATCGTTAATTTATTACCTGTTCTCTTCCATATTCTCATGGTAAGATCCTTAAATACTAAATTAACCCGTTAATTTTGATGCTTACAACGCTAATTTTTCGTTTTTTTTTTCTGTGTGGTTTTTTTAGGCAAAGATTTATAGAATGTTTGGAAAGGAGTATCAGAGACCGGAAAGAGCAGCTCCTGCTTGTCCTTTTAAACCATCAGCTACTAAACCCAATAATTCTGTAAGTTTTTCAATTATAAAGGCGTGATCTTTTGTTTTTACGTGTTGACTTGCTTGAAAAACTTGTAAGCTACCAAAACCAATAATTATGTAAGTTATTTGATTATAAAGGCGTGATCTTTTGTTTAGACGTGTTGGCTTGGCGGAAAATTTTGTTCTTGTTGGGAAATAAATGAGCTCGATGATCTTGTGTCATGGACTAGGTCCAACTGCCAACTTATCGTCCGCTCTGGACTGTCCTCTATGCACCAACATAAGTCTTTGGGACTCACGGTCTTGTTCATAATTTTTCACGACCAAAACTAGGGGGCAGTGACTTTTTTGCTTAGTGTGTTTGATTGAAATTTATTGATGCACATTTGTGTATACTGAATAGACATACATATCTGAATAAGCGGTATGGAAAACTAATTGGAATTGGTGCTAGTTGATTGATATACTGAGTGTGTGTTTTGGGTGGTTGGATATATCTTTTGTTTGGGTAATTCGGTGAACAAATTGTTTGAAATTTGGATATAGGAAGTGCAAAAACTGTTTAGCTCTCTTCAGGAAAGAGTTCTTTTTGTTGAAAACAGCGACCTCCTTGTGCCTGTAATACCCTTTCATTAGGGGAAACATCGAAATTTGGTGAATCAACTGAAAAATAGAGAATGAGGATGTGTTTGGTACTAAGGAATATGTTTTCCGTGGAGAGTATTTTCTTGAAAAATGCTTCTTAAGTAGTAGTAGTATTTTAACTTATTTTTCAGTGTTATGTTGGTGAGTAAAAAATAATTTCCGGAAAATATTTTCTAATATTTGATTGGTGAGTGGAAAATAATTTCTAGAAATGAGCATCCCAACTGAAATGACTTTGGACCAGTTGGATATTTTCCAGCCTGCAGTTAACCTTACGGTCCATCATGGAAAATCCATACAGGGACGGGGAAGCTGCCATCCAAACTAGTAAGTGCAAGGTTAGGTTGGTCATTTACCACCCCCTTCAGTCTATCCATTTCACCTGGTGTCTAGTCTAGCCAACTAGAAAATAGATCAGAAGCTTGGAAAATTGCATCTTTGGAAAATGACTTCCCCACTCTTCCAAAGGAAGTTATTTTCTGGAATTAGAGGAGAATGTGTTCTTAAGGAAAATATTTTCCCAAACATTTTGGCCAACAAAATACCTGAATATTTAGTATTTTTTCCTTCATATTAAGAATATTTTCCCAAACGTTTTGGCCAACAAAAAATACCGGAAAATTAGTATTTTTTTCCTTCATACCAAACACGCCCTAACTCTCTGAATACCCCAACAGTATTCTTGATGATAACGTTGAGAACATATTATTTTTCTGAATATGAATGTAAATTTGTAAAGTATGGGTTGACGAATCAATCTGATGAATCTTTGAGGGCATTCTGATGCGCATGATGCTAGAACTCTGGGTATTTAGGTGATTATGGTCTATTCTTGTCCTCTTCCAGATCTTTATGATGGCGAGTACCATGAAACTAGAGAATAGAATTAAATGAAAGGTCTAACCCACCATGAACAAAGCACACAAAAGAACTTAATGTCAACTTAGACTTTCTTCTCCGTTGGGGTCTTGAGTATAGTTATTTGCTTCATTTCTTTAATTTTACTGACAGATAAATAGAAGAAAATGTGTTCGGTACTTGGAAAAGAAATTTAGGTCTATGTTCCTTATCCAATCATTTCTATCTGGTATGCTGAAAAGTTCCTATAAAAATATTACTGTCTGCATGAGGTCATAATGGAAGGGAACATCTTCTCCGATGATCTACCATTCGAGTTCAAGACTTCTGTACAGTATTTGAAATTTGTTTGATGAAGTTTAAGCGTTCAGTTATTACATTAATATGAAATTAAGTTTTAGATATGACTCTAAACGCAACGAAATATTTCTGCGAGGAGAGGGTGTAGAATTACTTTATTAAAAGGAACACTTGCAAAAGTCCTTATATTTTGTTTTATGTTGTCCTAAGACTGTTGGGACCCACATATTACCTGCAGAAATATTTACAGGCAAATAATCAAAATAAAATGGTGAAATAAGGACTTCGGGATCTAAGGAAAAACCTAGGCCCAAGAGAAGTTAAACAATATTACTATAGCGAGATGATACTCTGCACTTGAGTATCACAAAGTCCTCGATATTCAAAAGAAATTTCCACTTTTCAAGTATCCTCACTAAAAAGCCACTCAAAACTCTTTGTTTTGTCCTCCCGTATGTACCTTTTAAAAAACTGGCATGATACAAATGAGAGAAAACAGAGAAGTGCCCCTATTTATAGGAGTAGACTACCATGATGATGTTATTTAAAACACCGCGGTGGAAAATGCAAATTCTAAGTTTGCATTGTGAATTCATTTAATGGCCGGTTGGCCAAATTCAAACTTGCTGAAATTTTATTGTTTATTTTTACATTCATGCCAAAAAGAAGAGCTTCTTCCTTTATCAGTGGGCCAATGGGGTCGGAACTCACAAATCTCCCCCTTTAGAGCCATGCACCTAAATGAGGTATCTTTGATTTCTTAGATAGAGCTCATGCAGACAAATCTATTTATAATATTCGAAGTTGTCTCTCGGTACCACCTTGGCCAACATATTACCAGGACTTTAGCTCGTGTGGATCTTTTTTGAATTTGTTCTTTACTTGCTCATTAATCCAATAATATCTCACGTTTATGTGTTTTCTTCTTGGACGGTATATGGTGTTTTTACTCAAGTCTATTGCACTTTGACTATCACAATAGACAATATACTCATTTTGCTGCAATTCCAAGTTCTTGAAGAAACCGATCGAGTATGGAGGGGAGTTTTGTGGGGTCAAGCCTCGAGACACAAGTTCTTTCTTTTGGAAAGAAGGTCAAAGTCAACCATAAAATCTGCAGCAAGTTTGGATTTGACCAACTGGCCATTAAATGAATTTACAATGCATAGTTTGAGTTTTGTATCTTCTTGTTGATGTCATTGATGACATTAGCATGACCTTTCTACCCTATAAGTAGGGGCATCTCTCTCTCATTTGTATCATCCAATTCACGGCTGAGATGTGACTTTTTATGAGAAGGAGATTCAGAAAACATGAATAAGCACTTGGTTAATTGAAATAAGGTTGAAACTGCACATAGTACATTGTTTATTTGCCATAAGTATCCTCTGGGAGCTGGACTCTTGATCTACCAAAACGTACCTTGACCACTGGTATCATGCACCTTTAGAAAAATTCAGTCTTTCGAGACCCCATAACATAACAAAGAACTTTCTAGCTGGGAAATCAGTCATATTATTACCCCCGGGCTTTTCAACCTCACTAATCAGAGCTAATTTACGTGGAGATGTATGGTAGGTGCGCGTCATGAGTTAGAAGCCTGGTTGTTGAACAAAGTCTAGCATTCGAGTGTAGAAAGGTGAATTTAGATCAGCTTCGTCGTTGCTACAAATTATCATCTATTATGTTTTGTACTATCTTGAGACATCTTTATATTTCTTTATGTCATATGTCATTTTTTGGGATTTTTGACACATTGTTTGTAGTTACATAATGGATCAAGAAAATCAAAATGTGCAAATTGGCACGTCTCTTTATGCCTAAAGTTGTTGATGTAAGAGATTTTTCTTTTATCTATCTATGTCATACTTGGGATTCACTCACTTCGTTTCGCTTGTTTTCTCTTTCCTTCTGCCTACAAAAAAAGTTATGAGATTGGTTTTGTGTGTGTTAGCTATCATCAAACCTGTGACATAGATAAGATTTACGTTCATACAGTTGGAATGGCCTGAGATCCAAGGTATTATGAGCATATGATATCAAGTGAGGAATAAGTGGGTTTACCTTTTACTGATCAAAAAGTTAGAATAAGTGGTATCCCCAACTTGCTAGAGATAAACTTTAGATATAAATATGCTATAAGTGAGTATGTGTGTTAACGATATTCAAGTATATGGAACACAGCCTGTTTATGGTGGCTAGGGGCAAAGCTAGCTGAGTTTCTAGATATGCTTTTACTACATAATTTTTTGCTAGTCAAAAACTCAAAGATTGCAGCTCCATTTTTCTTTTCATGGACATACTATGTTGATGACTTTCATTTATGGAACTAGAAAAGGTTTCATATTTTCTAGGGATAGGCTTATTTGGAGTTCGGACGATTTGATCCATATAGTTATAAAATTTGTAATTAAAATACTAGTAATAATTTTTAAGTTACATATCATCCGAAAAGTTTAAAAGGGTAAAATTACAAAGTGTATGCTAATTTTTATCGGGTTGAGTTGAATCTGTATACACACATTGTCACTAAATTATGGAATAAAGAGGAAAGATACGGATAATCAGGTTGATTGCAACCCAAGTGGACGATGTATTTTCTTGGGGACCTCCCATCTAAATTTGCTATTTGCTATTTGCTACTTTGCTAATCTCAAGTTGCAGCACTTGTAGTCTGAGCTTCAAAACTTGATCAATCTGTAGCCCTGCCTGAATTAGTCCGAAGAAAAGTGGGAAAGGAAATAGAAAATTTTGCATTTGTTTATCAATGAAACAAAAAAGTGAACTCCATAAATCTATTAACTTCTAAAAGCTGGTGGCTTTACTTGTCTTTGTGCCATTTGAACTAAATTTTATGTCCTTTCGTCCATCTTCTTATTTATTGCGTTAACCAATGACTCGGTATGAATGAAAACTGTATGTTTTACAGGTCACAGGAGAACCAGGTTCTGGCACCTCTCACCCTATACCTAAGGCAGTTGGAGTGGATGATTCCAAGCAGGATTAACTTTGGAAGAATTGGAAACTTCCATTCTATTCAGAAAAAGCAAATATCGGTTATGTCTTCCTTGAGATTCTGCAGGTCCCCCTAGCCATTGGCAAAATGATATGTGTGCTACCAAGATCATCTTGGTTAATTTAGTTTGTGGAGATTTGGATAATGTAAACTGAACTTTCTTACATTTTTCTCGTTAACTTGTAGATCTCTGTTTAGAAGCACACATATTGTTATATAATTGTGTCTCCAACTTTATAATCTCTCTTCAGCCATGTTATGTATTTGGAAGTGTCGAATTATGCCTTAATCGATGTCAGTAGCGCGCTTAATGCCTCCCCGTCCCTTATACTGTTCTTGACTCTTTGCAGTCTCTAACTATACCACTGTATGAGATTGTAAGAGGGGGTAAATTGAAGCGACTTTAGCTTCCCTACTCTGTAATTGGCAAAATCTTGCTTCTTCCTCCAGAAAGAGTGAATTCTTTACACCGATATGTCGTTCTCCTTTACAGTGGCGTAGCCACATACATTGAAGGGTGGTCAACCGAACATCCTTCATCGAGAAGTTATAATGTGTATATAGAAATTTATAATGTGTATGTATGTCAAAAGATATTTTTATATGTGTATATTAAATTTTGAACACCCTTTGCGAATTCCTAGCGTCGTCATTTCTCCTTTAACCAGGTTGCCCGACAGATTATGTGCAAGCTGGGTCGGAAACTACTTTATCAAAAGACAATATTGTGTGCAACTTGACTTAGACACGTTATCAAAAGAACAAAGATGAAGAAAGAAGGGCATGCTACAATAAATATAAACTGTCAGCTTTCAAGCATTAGCTAAATGGTAGCTAATATTTATTTTCGTTTGTATTTGATATCTTTTTCTTGCTTGACTGGCAAATGAAGATCTGCCATAACGATTTTGTGGGATCCTTTACAACTGGAATGCTTGTACCTGCAGATTTTTGGGGCCATTTTGTTGAATGTGATGTATATTTCTTTTTGAGGTATTATCACTTTTAGTCTGCGTCAGAAACTATTTATATTTGGTAGTCGAAAAAGTGTATAAAATTTGTATCATTTTTGTATATTACATACAGAATATGCATATATACAAAAAATATATATTTGTTACTATTATTTTGAGAGCGGCTATACAATATCATTTTTCTTTCTTTTTTCCTGGACATGTCTTGTAAAATTGTGGGCATGTGGTTTTTATTCAATTGATTCAACGACATTCAACTTAGGAAAATGTTTGCTTTTGTCAAAAGGTGAAAGGTATTAGGCTCGAGTCGTCTCTGTTATATGATATTCAATTTTGTTTGCCAAGTCTATGACAAATTTTTAGAAGGATAGGTTTTACTTTAGGCCATATGACTTGTGAGGTTTAAAAAAGAGGCACTTTTGCCTGCCCACAAAGCCAAGAAATAAAGGTTCATTAATGTCACTTCATTTAAATTAGAAATTTTTATTATTTGTAGAAATATTTTACCTGATTTTACACAGTTTCAAATAGAATAGTAGAGAGTTGTTAGTTGTAAAAGCATAAGAACTATATAGAACCATCTTTACAAAGTTTCAAATAAAATAGTTTGGTGGATAAGTTTTTTCAATCAAGTAAGTTGGCACAGGGGTGCCTTGGTGCAACTGGTAAAATTGCTGCCACGTGATTAGGAGATTACGGGTTCGAGCCGTGGAAATAGCCTCTAGCATAAATGCAGTAAGACTGCGGTACAATAGACTCTTGTGGTCCGGCCCTTCCCCGAACCCCACGCATAACGAGAGCTTAGTGCAGCGAACTGCACTTTAAGTTGGCACCATTACACCATATGAAAGTAGTGGTGGCTGGTGCTTTCTAAGTTTGCAAAATAATTATATTATGGTAATATGGTGGCCTTAAATTGTGACAGCCATATGTATTCACAAAGTTGTTCAAAAATTGGATTTCAACTAAATAATAATTGAATACATCATGGGTTGGTGAGCTATTAGTCAACTGTTTCAGTGTATAAGATCTTGGTTGAAATTTAGGTGAATGTTTGTTGAAAAGTCTTAAAAGAAAGTTCTGCGTAATTGCTACTAAAACCAAAGTTTGCCACCTTATAAATTACTATACTATTTAATGTGTTAAAATTTTTGCTGAAAACCAAGTTATTGTTTTCAAGACTCTGGTGAAGTGATAGGGCAATAAATCAGAATGAAGAAGAGAATTTTCCAAGTAATTTGTTTTATTCTTAATTAGATGAAAGTAAGACAAATAATCACCGAGAGTTGTACATGGTGGAATAGATAAGATCCCTCCCTCCTCAATCAAAAGTCTCGGCTTTGAGTCCTAGGGATGGAGGGGAGTGCTTTCCTTTTAAATAGCTTTACGCATCGCGAATTCAGATTAATCGGAGCCCCGATATAAATATCGGACACCCAATATAAAATCAAAAATAAAAAAAAAGTAAACCAATATAATGTATAAGCATTGGTTTGGTATTTTCTTTCATTATTTTTTCTCTTACTTTGCAAGTGAGCACTATTTTAATGTGCTTCTATTTATTTCCACTCATAATTAATGATGATGCTCAAAAATTGGTCCAAAACAAAATTTTCAACAGAACGTTTGGAATTTTTTTTTAGAAATTCATTTCGGAGAAGTTCAAATGAAAATGTTTATGGAAAATTTTTTCTAAAAATCAAACGTGGTTGGATAATTGCTGTTTCTATCAAGTTCATTACTAGTAACTTTCTATTATACCAAAGTTAAGTGATTACGGAGGTCGAGAATTTGAATATAAGGTTAGTAGGCAGTCGAACCAAAGGTATATTGGAAGCAATCTTTTTACGTCACACAAGCAGTGACGGGGCTAGGAATTTCACTAAGGGGATTCAAAATATTAACAAATAGACACACGAAAAAGCTAAGTGGATTCAACATATATTATTATTTATGCATACACATAATTTTAACCTTATATATACAATGTAATTCTATGACGAAGGGGGCTCGAATGAACCCTTTCTACCACCCTAACTCCGCCCCTACATACAACCTAGGGGTAAGGTATACGTACATTTTTTAATCGCCTCATACTGTACTTGTGAAATCACACCGAGTATGTTGTTATAGGTGTTGTAAAACTTAATCGATCAATATAAAATGCTCTATATATTCATATCTTAATACGATAACTAAATTTCTCCATATATTTCTCACATATAATTGACACCCATATTAATTTATCACCTTATATTATTATTATTATTATTATTATTATTATTATTATTATTATTATTATTATTATTATTATTATTATTATTGGGGGCTTAAAAAAGGTGTGAGCTGAAAATGTGTGGTCAATTAGGGCTGGACATATATCGGGTAAAACCGATAACTCGAACCGTTAATTGTTTATTGGGTTATCAGTATCGAGTTATTAGGTTAACGCTTCGGTAACGATTTAGCATTTTTTCACTATTGGGTTATCAGTTTGGGCCTCAGTTTGCCAATTTCGTTAATGGGTTAACCGATAACCCAATAAGAATTAATAAAATTACGACTTTACCCTTAAGTATACACATATGCTAGGGTTTCAGTTCATTCTCTCCTATTCTTTCTCAGCCGCACTCTTCAGTTGCTTCATCTTCATTCTTCATAGACCTTATTCTAGTTACTCCTAGCGTAAGTCTTTAGTCTTATACATTAGGCTTTTAATTTCTATAACGAAATTCATCTTTATATAGGGATTGCTCTATGGTTTCTTTTTTCAGGTTAAGCATTTGACAAACAACATCCAGTTTATCTTGGACTGTTTGAGGGCTTCAACGCTTGTGGTAGTGCAGTATTGTGTGAAATAAAAATTCTAAATCAACTATTGTTGTTATTATATCGGAGGAGGCAGCTAATGCCTTGGAATATTTTGTGGGAATTGCTGCAGTTTGATAAGCATCTATCCACTGATTTGTTGGTGAAGCCTATAAGATTGAATAGTTGTTGTCTTGTTAACTTGAATTTGAACTATTAGTACTATATGTTTGGGCTTGTTAATTTTAAGGTGAAATTGCTACTACTTTGTATTATTATTATTATTATTATTATTATTATTATTATTATTATTATTATTATTATTATTATTATTAATGTATTTGGAAAACTGTTGTTGAAGAATTAGTACTATCCCAGTTGTGTCCATTGGATAGAACGCAGAAATGGGTAGTGTACTATATGTGAATTCTTCTCTTTTTTGCTTAACTCCAGTGAATTGTCTTTTCTTTTTTGCTTAACTCTAGATTGAGTTATCTTATCGGGTAAATCGACAACAGAATCGATAAAGATCGATAACCGATTAATCGATACCCGATAACCGATATCTTATCGGTTCGGTATCAGTTTATCAAATTTGTAAACCGATAATATTTATAACCAAACCTAATTGGGCGATGCCCACCCCTATGGTCAATTCAGAAAACCAGTTTTAGTCCATTCACTTATACTGTGGTCCTCTAAAGATGGCGATTTTAAAAAAAAATCGCAACAAGTTGCGGCCGATGTTAAACGCTAATTCAAAATTTTAAATTAATATATACTAAAAGAATATGCTTTCATTGACAAAAATATACATACACATGTCCTTAAAATATATGCATACTAGGAAAGAATTTCATTTATGTTATTTTTAAGATTATTTGAACATAAATTCACAATCTCCATCTAATAATTATTTCTCTTGGGTCCCCAATTTTCTTGTCCCTTCCAATTATTCCCAACTTGAAAAATATCAAGCAAATTGCTTTGTCTCGTGCTTTTTTTTTTTTCCCGGGCTATTTGAGCGGGGGTATTAGAAGAATTATCTCAAAGAAGAATTAATATAAATAGTCGACCACCGAATCACTTAAACTAAAATTGACGAGTGTATAATATATATATATATATATATATATATATATATATATATATATATATATATATATAATACATATATAATATGTGTATAACTATCTATAATTATAATCTATAAATATTGATTAGAAAAAAGTAAGGAGTATTATAACTTCTAGCCCGCGCAAGAAATTATTTATATTCAGTAGCCAAAAAAATGTATAAAATTTGTATATTTTTTATATATAACATATAGAATGTATATACATACAAAAATATACATTTTTTTTGGCTATTATTTTGAGAGCGGTTATACAATGTCATTTTCCCAAAAGTAAACAATAAAATCATCCGGCTATTGATATAAAGATTCATATTTTAAAAAGCTTTTTTTTTGTGAGTAATTACACATGGGGTCCTCTGTTTTATGTTT